TAAAAGTTTTTATAATTAAAGCTTTTACCCTAATTTCCTTAGGTCCCTAGATAAAGGGCTTAATAGTAATAAGTCATTCATAGTCTTAGGGAAGCCTGGAAACAATGTGTGGGTTCTCTAGACTCACAACCCTCTAGATTCGAGAGATTATATACACATTTGTTGCTTGACTTTTTCGACAAGTCCTATGGTCTAGTGGTATGACGTTCGCTTCACAAAACACACAAACGTGTTTGGGAAGCGCGAAAGGTCCCGAGTTCGATCCTCGGTGGGACTAGAACACGTTGTCCACATGGGCAGCGAGCTTTTTTGGCTTTCATTTTTGATGCTCCTCCACATTTTTGCTGAATGAGGTGCTTTCAGGCACTGTCAAGAAGCTTGGGGAACGAGGGATAGCTTCTAGGAGCAAGGGGTAGCGTGCAATCTCCAAGTGACACCCTCCACCCCCTTTTTGCTCACCCAAGCGTAGAACCTTGTGTTCTTTGTCTTCTGGCCACAGAAGCATGTGTGCGGGACATTGAGAAGATGAAAATTCATTTACAGTCTTGCTTCAGGATGTATCTACGTGGGGTCCCGGTCGACAAGTAAGTGCCCGAGATGGATGGACACCCTGAATCGGCCTTTAGCATTCCATGCTATGTACGGGCCTAAGATTTCCGTCTCTTCGTAGATTGAGCGAAGGTTTCTTTACTGCAACAGAACGGGCGTAGTTTGTATGTACCAAAAGTTGGAATATCTCATGGCGAAGTTCCGCCTCTCCACACTACCACTCGTTGCCCACAATCGAAAGCGCATAGCTTCCTCCACTCGATGTCTGTTTTGCAAGCAATTCCATGACCGACTTTGCGCATCAGAGACAGCTCCAGTCTCGCTTGTTCGCGAAACTCGCGTATCTATAGCCTCGTTTGCCGACCGACCCATAGATCGTTTCCCCAACAACAACAATCCCAGTCTCGTTGTTCTTCAAGCGACCACCTCTTTCTCACACAGCATCGAGCCGACATATTTCGCAAGACTCTGCATCGAATAACAGGTTTGAGGTGCAAGAGAAGGGGACATGTGCATCGAAGCTGCGATGCTAGCCTCATTCGGCAGGTCTACCAAGCTTGAATCGACCGACAAAACATCGCGCGCGGTACATGTCGTTGAGCGGTCTCTTTAATCGTTCGACTTTCATCGGGGCATTATTAGAGTAAATTTTTTTGAAGAATTGGAAGAAAATCGTTGGCAAGGAACCAAAAGATGTTGCGATTGAACGTTTGGACGGAACCGCCAGAAAGGTTCACTCATGCGTACACTGTTGAAATCGCCGAATCGACTCATTAAAGGGGCCAACCGAGTCTGACTTCACTAGATCAATTGGGTTCGTCGCTAAACAGAGAAACTTCCTAGCTCATACGATAGCGAGCTTCGAATTCCTTTCGACGGATCTGTTCCTTGCTTTAGAGATCGCGACGTTGTGAGGGCACAGTGGGTGGAAAAAAGAAGTGATATTCAGTATGGACAAGAGCTCGTTAAGTGCAGATGGGATGGCAGATGAATGTTCCCTGGACGTACCTGCGAACGCGAACGACCGCTCCCTGAGGACGTCTCATATATTCCTGCACCCACTGCGAGGGTGTCCCCAAATCCGCGAACTCGATAAAGATGGGTGGTATATTTAACTCTTCTCAATAGCACCGACGCAACATGTTTTTCACTTGGCATTTGCCCAATCGTGATTCTTGCACTCTACAGCGCCCATCCGTCGATCAGTACAAGATCAAACAATTCAATTCAGTCGCAGCGCTACCCTAGATCCCGATTCCATCCGCGCCCTTGCCAGCCTCCGATCCTTCCCATCTCGCCATACTCCTCCAAACCCAATACACTCCGATCCAGATATCCCGACCAAGAAGAAAGCTGCTCACTCAATAGCCCGCCCAACCGCTCGAAGAAATGACGGGAGAAAGGGCTTGGAATCGTGTACTACCTCGCTGCGACGCCCATGCCCAACAATACTTGGTCTGGATGTCCACCGCCAGGCAGCCGGGGTAACGACCAAACGATACGAGTGGAACGACAAGGCGCAGTGCAGCGTCTGAGAGGCGCCGAGTCCTAAGAGTTTAGGAGAATAGAAAAGTAAAAAGAAAGTTACGCCAAAACACCTCAGACACCAGTCATAAGTAACGTCCATTGCAAGGCCGGCGAGCCGAGCTGGGAATAGGAGAGGTGTTGTCTCGCTATGGAAAGGGGAACCGAGGCAAGAAAACAGTATTCTCCACCTTTGTGCCGGAGGTCCTGGCTCCTTTTTCGGGAGCGGGTTCTGTACAATATGTTTCGCGCGGGTCGTCGAGGCGCGATGGATCCCGACCGGATGGTTACAAGTTTAGGCAGAGGTTCATTCCTTGACCTTGGCCTGCCTCTTTGCCGTTCCAATGTGCGTGTTGTGCACCTACATTTGTTAGCTACGAATGCCAGCATTTGCGCGGTGAGCCCTACCTTGGTGGCAAACTTGAGACTGGTCAAAGTCTCGTGCAAGTGAGCCTGCAGAGGACTGATCATGACAAACATGAGAGTCTTGCTGTTACCGCCCAGGGAATACTGCAGCAGATACGTGAGCTTGCTGTTGCGGTACGGGATGTGCGCGCCGTCCTTTCCAGAGCCCAGCGCAGCAATGACATCACCGAGGCAGCTCAGACTGCGGTTGATGTTCTGCGTTTCCTTAAGACGGTCGCCGGTAGCCCCTGAGTGGCTTAGGCGCTCGGAACCTGCCAGATCGACGAGGTTCAAAGTGCCTTCGCTGCGTTCGCCGGTAATCGAATTCTCACCCTTCAGCTTGAGGATAAATACGGAGTGGGATCGCGAAGAGCGGCTGTTGGCCATAGTCGCAGCGACGCTGCGGTTGCGCGAGGCGTTTGAGAGCATAGACTGCACCTTGTCGGGGCTGTCTAGAGGCACCGACGTGACGCCAGTGATTTCGGTACTCTTCTTCTGCGCGTCATGACGAATCTCGTGCTTCTTCTTATCGAATTCTTCAGCCTTGCCGAGCAGGTCGTTCAAAACTTCGTTGTACACCTCGACAAATTGGCCCTCCATCTTGTACCGCCAGCCCTTCTCCTCAAGGTCCTGCGCAGTGTTGTAAATCTGCTGGACCGCCAGGGGAATCATTCCGTCAGATGAACTCATTGTGTACGTCTTTCCGGAACCAGTTTGGCCGTAGCAGAAGATGCAGACATTGTACCCGTCGAGCGCCGACTGGACAAGCTGAGAGATCTCTTCAAATACCTCTCCATTTTGCGACTTTGGACCAAAGACCCTGTCGAAAGAAAAGGGATTGGTGGAGCGAGTCACGTTGCCCATAGCGCTTTTCTGCTCAGGACCTTGGATGACCACCTCCTTGCTGTCTTTTCCAGCGTCAGGATAGTTGATTTCGGCGGTCTCAGTCGCTTCGATTTCCGCAGGTGGGCGAACACGGCAAAAGACGCGAATGTTGCCCTTGAGCTCTTGGACTTGGTTATGCAGCTTGCGTCGAAGCGTCTCTTCAGCGCGAAGCTTGGCTTTGGTCTCTTCAGCTGCATCGACAGCTTCCTGCATGCGCTTGTGAAGTTCCGCAAACGCCGTGGACTGTGCCTGGCTGTCAGACTCCAGAAAGTTAATCTTAGCCTTCATGGCGCTGTTTGCCGACTCGAGTGTCATGTTGTTTGCAGTCGACTCCGAAAGCTTGTCACGCAAGTTCTTCTCCAGGGCCGTCTTCCGCTCAATGTCGGCTTTGAGCTGCTCGGTTTCGCGGCGAAGATCGAGAAGCTCCCTGTCTTTCTTTTCCATGTCTACACCAGCATTCTGAGCGTGAAGCTCTGCCTGTGTCTGCAGTTCCGAAACTTCCTTGACGCGTTGCTGCCGCTCTTGATCAAGCTGGGCCTCCATCTCCCTCTTTAGGGTTGCAAACCTTTCTTCATACTCGGCCTTGACGTCCTTAGTCTGATGGTCAAGACTTCGCTGCAACTCCTCCGCCTTTTTGTCCGACTCTAGGCGCAACTTCGTGACCTCACGCTCGTGCGCAAATTGCATGTCCTTGATATCGTGTTCGTGCTGCCTTCTCAGGTCTTTGAGTTCAAAACTGTGAGAATTCTTGAGGCTCTCGAGAGCAACCTCTGTTTGCGAGAGTTTCAGCCTTGTCGACTCTAGTTCGCTCCGGATCGTGTCGTTCTTCGTCGAGAGTTGCGATCGAATGGCCTCAAGCTCGTTAACTGCAACCAGAAAAGCCAGGGTTAACTTCAATCCTTTTCTGGTCGTCATGTATCGCGTAGAAACAAGCTCAAAAACAGAACATCGAATGTCCATGATTGAAAGAGACATACTCTTGGCCTTGTGACTTTCGATTTTTTCTTCGATATTTTCGCGCTCGTTGGCCGTGCTCTTCATCTGTTGCCGGAGTTCGCCGTAAAGGGCCTCCATCTCGTCGAGGCGGGTTTTCGTATCCCAAGCTGGAAGTGGAGCACGCAAGTTAGAGTCTTTGTTCAAAAATGGAGTCGTGACTTCTTTGCAAGAAGACGTCTTGGGAGTCTTCGAAGGAGAGGCTGAACGAAAAGGAACCGCCTGGTTTTGCTGAATAGACAACGATGAAGACTGGGATTCAAAGGGACCAGAATGCTGAACGGATTGAACCTGGAAACGTGGAATATGAGAGGGGGTTTCAGGAGGTTCAGGATCTTCCGGGATGGGATCAAATGATCCAGGAGCTTGCGCAAAGCGCAAAGGTTCCATGGAGCCCATGGAACCATCCCAAGAAGCCTTTTTGATAAGTCGACCAGGCTGGGGCTGTTGAAAAGAAAGTGCTGAAGACTGTGCTGAAACTGATCTGCCATATGGGTGGAACGACTGGGCCATGCCGCTATCCTGACTGCGTGCTCTGCGAAGACTGTGCTTGGAAGTCGAAGGGTTGGAACTTGAAGCAGTGTAGGTTGAAAGAGAAGGCGGTACTGTACCCTGACGCTTTCCTCCAGAGGAGGAATTGCTGTTATCCACAGATGTCGCCGGCCGGTTCGAGGGAGTCTGAGAACGATGCCTAGACATGGAAGTGTGCGGTCGGGTGTCTTTGGTAGATCTGGCTCCGTGAGAGTAGCTGCTGGCAAAGGAGGGGGTCGAATTTTGTCGAGTGCGAGTCGATGGTGCTGAGACGGAGGATGATTTGGAAGTACGGACGCCTGCTGTAGCGGTAGTCTTGACTGAGCTATTGACTGGCCTTGGAGGTGCAATGCTGGACTTCATCTCTCCCGAGACTTGACGTTTCGCGGC